AGCAGGATCTCTGTTAAGGAGCAGAAATTGTTCCTGCTCCATTACGTGGAGGAGAGTATAAGATACTCTGCAATTTGTATTGCAGCGTATAAGATACTCCCTTACACTGCAGTTTATAAAGTGTTTCAGGCAAATACTTTGCCAATCTTGCAATAAATATTGAATAAAACCAACATATACCTGGTTTGCTTTGTATTCCCCCTTGACTGAATACAGCAATGTATTTATTTTCCCTGAGCCTGAGGAAGGGCGTGTGTGCCCGAAAGCTTGCAGAAAAATCTTTTTTTGTTTTTTTGGGTTTTTTTGTTTGTTGCAATGTCTTAGTCTAAAAAAAGGTATTATCTCTGAACCAAGAGTTCTGGAGTTTTACATTTCATTTGCAATGTAGTTTAAAACATAATTACCATGAGTAGTGTGTTGATTAGAATCTGGAAGATAGAGCTTATACAGCTTTCATTTATGTTTTTAATAGTGTCAAATGTTATAACTCCTACAGTACTTTGCTTCACAAGAACACAAACACATTTAAAAAGGGCATTCCCAGAAACTTTTGCAATTTTCTGTAATGTAATAGTAGGTTATTTTCAGTAGAGGGAGTAGTTGGTTTACATTTGAAAAGTAATCATAGAGCTCTGTTGGGGAAATTCTTGACAGTAAATGAAATGAAGTAACTGAAGCAGTAAAATCACTTTATACTTTTATTGAGAAAACTGTACTTGAGACCTAAACGCACAGTTTTCAATAGCCAGTTGGCTGATGGCCATAGAGTGTTCTGATGTTTAATAGCTAACATTTAATGTCAGTTGATTAGATTAGCTATTTTCAGTTTTGAGCAATCTTGATACTTCACCACTTCATAATGTGCTATATTGTGGAATCTGAAACCCTGAAAAATCAAGCATATGAATTTAATTACAGTGATGTCTCTGTGTCTATGCTGCTAAAGTATTTTAGTACTATTCTGAGTAAATAAATCTTAACCTTAATTGGTCAGGCTTAAAGCAAATCGTGAGCTGTATACAGACTTTTAAAGATACCACTGGGTTCTTGTTTAAATTTTATGGAAAGATTAAAAAGGAGAGTTGTCCCAAAATTATGTATATTGCATCCATTCAAGCCAAACTACTAAACTATACACAGTAAGTCCTGTAGTCATAATAGAAGTGAACCTTATTTACTATTTGTTATGTATTTGTTTTCATTTGCCAGACCTTCTAAATAAAGATCTGATATGGTAACTCTATGTTTTAGTGAAAACATGATAAAGTAATAAATCTCTCCCTGAAGGGTAGCTTCCTTTCATTTTGGCCTTCTTTGCATTCACAAAAGGAAACCTCTGTTCTGACTTGGATTAGTAGACCTTCCTGGCCACATACCTGAGATCAGAATAATTGCAATTGAATTGTTCCTTTGGTGATTCGGATCATCTTGTACCAGATTTTCAAAAGTGTTCTTTGTTTCCAATGGGAACTTTGTTGAGTCCGGGGAGCTCTTTTGGAAATCTAGCCCTTTGTTTTGTCTCTCTTAGATTGCAAACTCCTTGAGGCAGAGAACACATATATCTGCTCAGTACAAAAGCAAGCTGTCACTTTGGATATGTCTATGCCACAAAATGAAGGTGTGATGGTGCTAACGTACCTGTACTGAGCTAATCTATCTACCATGGGTTAGAGATGTAGAAGTTCATATTTTAGCACTTGCTAACAACCATAGTGAGAGCCCAGAAGCCCTGAAGAGATTGTCCTACTTCAGGTTAGCATATACTTACACATATTAAAGTCCAGGCTGCCAGGTCCCATGCTAACTAACTAAACTCTATGTAGAAAGGTAGCACATGCTGCCATCACCCTTCATTTTGCTGTTTAAAGATACCCATTGCTTAATAAATGTAGAAAGTGCCCTTGGTATTTTTAGTCTAAAAATTACCAAAAAAGCCGTTGTTAAAAACTCTCCTTTCTGGAACACACCTGTATGTGTTACACAACTTAAAGTATTCTATTTTTGAAAGGAAATGTATGAAATTCTTGATGATCTAATACAAGGAAGAAAAGAGATAAAGAGAAATGTTGTTCTTGTCAGGCTGCATAGTAGGGAAGTGTGAATGTCCAGAAAAGCCTAGAACTATTCAGAACAATAGAGCTTTCTTTCTTTCTTTCTTTCTTTTTCCTGAAGCCTGGTACAGAAAAATTGGAAAATTAGTTGGAGGGGGAGGCAGGAGACTTGCAAAGAAAAAACTTCTATGTGAAATGTTTTCCCGCAGAATGAACTGTAAAAGAAATTGCAGTAAAAATCAAGAAGCTGGCTAGCATGAAAGAATTGAGAAGCTTGTTTGTGCCAGTTTGTATAAATCTTCAGTTGAATGAAATGTGTGAAAATCATAGTTGGAAGTTCAGAATCAGAAGTGGATCTTTCATTCCAGATTCTGATTATAGAAATTACAAGGGAAATTAGAGCTATATCACCATTTCCAAGATCATATTTGTAATTTCAGTGTTAAATTGTACTTGTTTGTAGTTTTCCTGCAATTATGACACATAATCTATAGATAATAATGCGCTATTAAAAAACCTGTTTTTTTACTGTAAGATTGGGAAATATACTTATATTTACTTCTTGTCTTTGATATTGTGCTTTTGACTACCTGAATTTCTTCTGTAGCTGTATTTTTCATTAGACTTCTGATTTCTGTGGATATAACCTTACTTTTTATTTATAAGTCAACAGTATTGATCTTTTCAGTTGTAAACATTTTATTTTTCTCCAGCTTATAGATATTTTAACTAGTGGAAAGGGAAAAAATACATTTAAGTACTGTAGTCTACATCTCCCTCTAATACTAAGTATATTCATCATTGTTCAAAAGTGATTAACTTATTTTAT